ACTTGCTAGATATTCGCACATTGGAGCAAATCAAACGTTACACCCTATCCGAGGGCTGGAAAATCTCCGAAAGTTTCTAGGTAGCTGAACACAGAATGTGGTTATGTAAAATGCGTTTCAGGCCGTTAAGGACACTGTTCAACGTGATGCAAACAGCATTCGATACCGTGCTGACTTGGTTGATTATTGCTTGACAAAGGACTGGCTATGAGTAAAGCGGTGGCCTTGGTTTGAAATAGGCAACACGTCAACTTCGACCGAGTTTGATCGTATTCATGTGGTTTTTCGCGTTGACGTCGGTCAGTAGTACCGCTTCATGTCTAATCGCACCAGAAGATGCTCGAAAACGCTTATTGGCTCTGCTCTCGACCTGCTGGCGAACTTGGATGAAGCCTTTAGACCATCCAACCCGCGCAGGTAGCCGACAAAGGCCGAGGTCTGTTTTCGGAAGGTACCGTAGAGTTGCGCAATTGTACCTTCGCTCTCGTGGCGAACACCGTCCAGCCCATCGAGCCGGGACAGCGGAGCAAATGTCAGAATCGTCCCGAAGATCTTCTCAAGCAATCTGGCCGCCTCGGTGTGTCTCTTGCTCAGGAAAAGGGCGAAGAGCATCTGGTCAAGGATATCTTCGTGGTACCTTCTCAGCCAGGAAACGGAGTGTGCTGCTTCCATAACGCCGTCTATGTCGCCATGCTCAAGGCCGCATTCGATTCTCGCAAGGGTATCCTGGAAACTTTGCCAGGTAGAGCCGACGCCGATGTGAAAGCAGTAATCGCTCACGGCAAGGATGAAATGTTGGCAGTCTATGCGGAATCTCTGAAACAGATTCCGTGTATCCCCGGAAAGAGAGCTTCTTGCGGTTGAATCGCGAATGAGGCCTCTGACTACCGAAACCATGCGGATCAGGCGTAGCAAATGCTTGAATAGGCGGTCGTATTGATCCAAGGATCGTTGCGTTATAATTGTTTCCAGGACTGCGGATGGTTTATACTGAAGACGGAGGAAATCGAGTGCTTCAATGGCAGTCGGATCCTTGCATCTCACAATCTCATCGTTGGTCAAGTCGCGAATTGCGAAACTCAACCCACCAGGAAGCTCCCGCTCCCTGAGAAACTCGACATTACTTGAATTGTCTAGACGCTCATCCATGTTACAATCACTGAGGAGGCCGATCAATACCAGTCGCAACTCAGAGCTTGCAGGAGGCCAAGTATCCCGATTTCCTAGGCGCAAACCGGTATGCACGCCGCTCCGTACGACACCTGATCTACGCTCGCCGCTCTCCATTTCAGGATCAAAGAGTGAGTGCGAGAGGCGCGACGCAAAGAAGCCGTCACCTAACAGCTGAAATCGCCACTGCAGGGTGAGGTGGTATCTTAATTTGTGTTCCTTGAATAAGAGGTGGAGACAGGAATAATCAACGAGTAAAGCTTGGGAGGATAGTAGAGGTACCAGAGAAAGATAGACAGCGGATATCATTTCTGGACCAAAGTCGCTTTTGTGCGGGTGAACTGGTTGAGACCTCTCCAGCGTACTTGTGTCGAACAATGGTCCGAGTTCGTCGTTTTTTAACGAAGAGTCATTCGCCAGCAACCCGGTCGTATGCTTGGAATCATCGATATCGAAGATTTCGAAAGCACCAAAGATAGCTTGATCGTCCCCGGCAGAACCAGACTCCTGCATACCTTCTTCTGCAAGTCCTTTGTCATTCCTCACTTGCCCCGAATTTTGGCCCCGGCTGTATCTGAGGATTTCCGAGCGGAGTTCAGCCTCGTATTGTTGGGCTTTCTTTTGTATTCTCTCGATGTCGGACCAACTTCCTGCACAGCGCAAATTTGGACCGTCGTTGCGAAGGATTGCATCCCTTGCGATTGGGTGTTGAGGATGGTATCGTCGGAGTAGCCGTAAGCTTCGACCGGTCTCGAATATCCATTCAGATTGCTCCGCGGGAATAAAGGTCGGCATTTGCTCAGGTTGGTAACGGTACTGCAAAGTTGCTGTTTTCGCAATTTTCGAACCTGCTCTACCCTCGTATCGCTCTACCGCTACGAAGCCTTCACTCTTCGCAGCCATTTCCACTAAGGCTGGTGTCTCAGTGCGCAGGCCAACCCAAGCTTCCACGTAATGGAGCCAAGGTGCAATCACACGCGCAACAAGTTCATGGAAAAGATTTTCCATGGAGCCGAAAGCTTGAGAAAAATGGGCCGCCTTCTCAATGACAGCAGATATTACATGAGCATCTGACGCAGCTTTCTGAACTGCTTCGACCATGTTCGATAGCGCACCAACCAGTTCACCACACCGCTGAAAAAGTGTCATGATTTGAACGAGTGATGAAATTTCCCTGGAATAGTTAATCAATTGCTTCTCAAGGGTGTAGATAATCACAGCGGCAGCACTGGCAAAGGCAGATCGAGCAGAGAATTCCTTGGGCTTGATCCGAGTCCGGCGCGCAAAGTCCCTTATGTTGTACATAGCCGTACCACAGCGAAGTATGTTCTCAGTCAGACCATTGACAACGGGGAGGCTGACTCCAGAAACGCGGATGTTGTCGGATACCCTTTCGAACCTTTTCCGTTGCTTATTGTAACGGAAGAACATGGAGCTCCAGCCGAGTCCAAGCCTGAATAGAGCATGGAAGAAGACATCATTCCGGGCCACACATCCCGCGTCTTTAGATCCATTTTCGGAGTACTGGCGTGCCAAAGCTGCATCAAAGCCTTTCGCGCCGGACTCGCTGAAATAAGCGGACGTCGGCTCGAGAGACGATCGATCATGGTACCTCTCCCATGACTTCAGCGCAATCTCAGGAATTGTAGCGTTTTCCAAGCTTTCAAGCGTCCAGATACTATCTGACTCAGCTTCAAAGATATCATCGTCCTGGTGGCTAAAATTTTCATCTACTTGGGTATCACTGAACGCATCCGTTATTGACTCTACCGGCTGGTCGAAGAGGAAAAAGTTATGTCCTTTGAGATTATCCAGCTGGGGTAATGGATCTGCATCTTCCGCGCGTAGGTTGAGAGTGCTCTTAAAGAGCCTCTCACTTAGATCTTTCGAGAGAACCTGTCAGCTGTCCGTGATTCGCGCCAAGTAAGTGCTCATGTGTAGAACGCACCAGGTAGGTTCTCACTCCATTGGAATAAATCCGACGGCTGCAAAGAATCCAAGGTAAAATTGGAGAGCCTCCACAAACTATCACTCGAGAACGGATCCGTGTCATACTCGCCCTGATCCATCGTCATCCATGCCGTGCCATTTCCTGCATAGATGATACCTACTCGACTTCTTATCAGCGTCTTGAGCCTTAACGCGTTGTTGGCGCGCGATCACATGCCACTAAGCTTGAAGCGCTCTAGCTCCTGCCCCCAGCCAACGCTCGGGCCACCATTTGTTAGGCATTCCAAAGCGCAAGAAGCTGTTCCGCGCATCGTCATACCTGATCCGATCTAACCAGACTGAATTTTTATTGCCCAGACTGCCTTCGGTAGCTCGCTGTCTGCCTCAAGGCAGAGCTATATTATAATGCCGCCTAGAAAGAAACCAAAGCTTACTGATCCTCAAGCCGAAACTGCGCAGCCGGCCGCCGATACACCTGCCAGTGAGGGCGCAGGCAAACTAGACAATGGACACGACTTAGTAGCGGATCCCTGGACAGATGAGCAGGAGACAGCACTGCTGAAGGGAATTGTCAAATGGAAGCCAGTTGGTACGTTCTAACAAATCTCTTACTCAATGTTGTCAATGGTCTACAACTACAATATATAAAAAACAAACTAAGCGGTGCGTATCCAGGCATGCACAAACACTTCCGTATGATAGCAATCTCCGATTTCATGAAAAGCCAGGGCTACGCACCATCGAATTGCGAGCACACACGGATACCAGGAATATGGAAGAAGCTAGGAACACTTTACAATTTGCCTGCGCTCGATGAACGTGTACGTCATGGCAGGCGCGCGCCTCCTGCTTCAATTGCGGCGCTGACATGTTTATAACGATCTAGGAAGATTCGTTGATTACAGAACCCTCCGATGACCCCGACGGATCAAAAGACTTCTATTGCCCATTTGAACTCCCCGAGGATGAATACGGCGATTTGATGTTCGAGAGGAGACTAGCGATGGAGGGATCCGCGTCACCTAATCCCAGTGCACAAGCAGAGTCCAGAAGAGGCAGTACAATAGCGGATACGGATGGTATGGAATTCTTATTAAGAATACTCACATGATTCTAATTCTCGTTTTCGGTTCTTCATATAGAACCACGCTCGTCCCCAGCTCCATCACGAGGCAGAAAAGGAACCCGCAGCGCTCGCCAAGGAACGCGAGGCACCCGTTCGACGAGACTCCAGGTCGAGATCGAATCTCGAAAAGGATCAGGCACCGGGGAAGAAGACGCAGGTTCCGAGGAGACCGGGGCAAATGATGAAGGCGACGAGGAAGGGTCAGATGGGGCGCAAGACGACAGCGAAGAGGACGAGGCGGAGGGAGACACGGGCGGCTCTCCGACTACAAGGAGCACACGTGCGCAGACAAGCAAATCGAGACAAAAGGGAGGCAGAGGTGGGGGAGCTGGAACCAGAAGAGGTGGTCGACGACGCTAGACATTCAGCTCCCTGGGGTTTCTTTCGTCTTTTGACACGATTCGCATTTTTGATACCTTGAAAAGCTCGGAGCAGGCGTTCGGCGAGATTGTGTATGATAATGAAGCTATGACGTTTGTACTACTATGATCGTTTTCACTCTGGATCTGGCGAGTAGGAAATAATCTTCAAATGAGGAACACGAAGTCCGTCGTCGACCACTTGGGTGTACCACTTGCTTGTAAGTACAGAGGCGACCAGTGAGACCAGATTGTATGAGAGCACAAAAAGGATGAATTTCGGTATAAGTGGCATCTTACTAAGTACATCTAAGTACATATAAAAGAGATCTAGGGTCGTTCATGAGCTAAAGGTGGGACATTTGAGGGAATAGTACATTTCAACGCCAAGTCCCTTACAGGCGCTTGCAGATAGCCTCAGCATACTCGTGGGTCTTGGCCTTGCCTCCCAGGTCACCAGTGAGAGTCTGCGATATAGCACGTTAGCATCCGAAAAGATCCATAGAACGAATCAGAGTCTCTCGGGATTGAACATACCTTGCCCTCAGCGAGGGTGTCGAAAGTGGCCTTTTGAATACGAGCAGCGTGCTCGGTGAGACCCATGTGCTGCAACATCATGATACTGGACAGGAGCAGAGCAGTAGGGTTTGCGAGACCCTTGCCAGCAATGTCGGGAGCAGAGCCGTGAACGGCCTCGAAGATCGAGCACTCGTCGCCAATGTTACCGGAAGGAGTGAGGCCGAGACCACCGATCAGACCGGCGCACATATCGGACAGAATGTCACCGTATAGGTTGGGCATGACGAGGACCTTGTCATTGTAAGGAGTGGGATCGGTAACGATCTTCAGGCAAGAGTTGTCCAGCAGCTCAGCATCAAACTCGATATCGGGGAACTCCTTGGCGATTTCGCGGGCAGTGTTGAGGAACAGACCATCGGACATCTTCATGATGGTGGCCTTGTGCACGACACGGACCTTCTTCTTGTTGACCGAACGAGCGTACTGGAAGGCGAAACGGAGAACCCTCTCGGAAGCTTCTCTGGTGATGAGCTTGATGCTCTGGACGACACCATCGACGACAACGTGCTCAATGCCAGAGTATTCACCCTCGGTGTTCTCACGGATCAGAACAGTATCGACGTTGTCGTAAGGAGTCTTGTAACCCGCGACCGAGCGGCAGGGACGCAAGTTCGCAAACAGGTTGAAAGTACGACGGAGAGTAAGATTGAGGGAAACGTGACCCTTGCCGACGGGAGTCTATATGATTTCGTCTTAGTACTGCATCTCTGTGGCTCGCAAGGGCAAGAGGTTGACGAACAGCAAGAGGACCCTTGAGGGCGACATAGTTCTTCTGCACACTCTTGATGGCTTCCTCGGGGATAGCGGTCTTTCCGTCCTTCAGGATGGGAGTAACGTCGACGGGCTCCCACTTGATGGGGGCCTACAACTAACTTAGTACTCAATTCTCCGGCGCGCAAGCGAATGGGAAGAGCGAGCTTTACCTTTGCGGCAGCAAAAATATCCTTCACGGACTGCGCAATCTCAGGACCGATACCGTCACCCTCAATCAGTGTGACTGTGTATTTTCCCTACCAACCAAACATCGTCAGACCTGAATCCTTGCAGTATTCTCATCTTCCTCAGATGTAATGCTTAACGGCTGCTGGAAGATCGAATATTCCATAAAGCGGCGGCGGATGTCACCGGGCCAGAAGAGGAAAGGAGAAAAAAAAAAGTCGATCGAGGCATGACATACATCAGGACCCTTCTGTCCCTTGAACTTGGCGACCCGTTCGTCAGCAGCTGAGGCGTAACCGCGCAGCTAGATGAAGACATTAGCTTGGTCAGTCCCGCGATTGAGTAAAGTCGAACAGGATCGTCTGAAGGTCGCGCATTACCTGCGATAGAGGTGAAGCAAAGCTTGGAGACACACGTGTTGTCCGCAGGCATTGGCGGGCCGGGGCAACGAAATTTCTGGCAGAGATCATTGTGATAGGTCCCCAGGTTAACAGCGGACGTTCAGGTTTTTGAGAGGAAAGGAATTGAATTGAAGATAGACGGGAAGGAAGAGAGAAGAAGAAGAATACTACGCGGTGGCGGGTCACTTGTGCGGGAACTTGGAGGCAGAGACGGGAGGGTCTTTTGCAACAATCCCGGTAACCCGAAAGCACCACTCAAAGTCTCCTCCAGCCTAGCACTGCAACCTGAGGTATCAACTACGCAAGTGGTGCGGCCGGACCGACTGCCCCGTTCGGGAAGCCGCTATTCCTAACCCGGTTTGACACGTGGGCGGTACTCTGTGCTTCCTGTAAGTACATCTACAGCTTCAGATACAGAGGCATTAGGCGGTTCACTTCTGTTTGTCTATTCTTACCACGGACGAGACATTGTTTTTCATGTGATAGATTCCTTCACGGAGTGTATGATTGATGTTTCAGGCACAGTACTCCTGTACCTAGAGGACTATGCGCAGAACGGTGATGCAAATTTCCTGCTTCCTTGACATCATGGTTACTTTGTTAGGTAGGCTTGCAATTTGCTCCTGGTGGTTTTATTATGTATTCTTCTGTCTGTTGATTCTTGTAGATGATTTACTATCTCAAGCCATAATATATCAATTTCTCTACGGAGTACTCCGTACGTGTATCATAAAAGTCATAATGCTTGATGGAACTCAAATGACTATTGTGCTCGCTATCGTCTGCCGTAGTCGCTCTACCACTGATCATCTACCGTTCAGATTAGATAACGCTTCCGGTTGGACCACAGTCAACAGCTATCCTTAGATAAACCATATATGGGCCATGCAGCTCCACTAAACGAAGGTTTAAGGTAATTTTTCTCTTTATCTACAGGGTCATGATACCTGTAAGCTGTCTCAATTTGTGTTGTGCCTTCATTGCTCACCCTTGCAGTTGCATGCGTCTAGCACGAGGTCTAGCAACTGATCTACCGCCCCCCCTTCAACCCTTAGCCTTGGCGATATACCAGCATGACAGACGTCGAGGTTGCGAATTATTATAGCCTCCCATCGGCCTATCCTGAGGAATGGCCTACTGAGCTCGATCAGAATGAACCTTCCGACGACGAAACTCTGGACCGAACTCCTTCGCGAGCCAGGAGGTCCCGATACTTCGCCCTCGAACGCAGTCATAGCGGTAAGGCCGTCAGCCTTGGGTCCTTCAAAGGCAGCAATGCGAGGGAGAATCTTGCCAAGGTCGATGAACCTGACCCTCTCGGGTCCGGCGACAGCGTCCTTCAGATGCTAAAGAAACGAGGGCTATCGTTAGAAGATGAAACCCGCTTACGGAACCGGTTCTTGCTTTCGTCGACCTCGTTCTCCCCCGCCCTTTTCCTCTCCCAAGTTCACTCCGATGCGTCTATTGAGTCACTGCTCGAAGGACTCGACTTCCTCTCGAAATCTATTGACCAGAAATCGGCGTCGCTGAAAGTCCTCGTCGAGGCGAACTTCGAGCGCTTTGTACGGGCCAAGGCAACAATCGATAGCGTCTATACGGAGATGAGAAACCAAGGAAAAGAGAATCATGTACCACTGGCTCAGTCACATCGTAGGTCAGCTGGACATCTTCGAAGCATTTCCGGAGCTTCGCGAAGCGCGCCTCCTGCGGACGACAGACCCGGAAAGAATGCTCTAACAAAGGAAAGCGACTATGGCATGAAGGGAATACGGGTCCCACTCTTGGAGGCCTCCGTCAAAGCTGAAGAAGTCTGGGGTCCGGCGTTGGGCGGGCGCGAGAGAGAACAGATGCTCAAGTCAGTAGTCGACACGATGGAGAAGCACCGGGATGTCTATGAGATCGGTGGGCTTCTCTCGAAGTCTATAAAGCAGAGGGACTACGACTCTGTATTCGAACAATATACAAAAGCAAGAACGCTTGCCAAGAGCGCTAAGCATATTGCACATAAGGCAACCAGCAGTGGGCGATCTCTGACAGACGAAGAAACGCACACTATCCTCGCCATGGGTCGGATGTGGGTAGATGTCGACCATCAGATTCAGGCGTTCAAGCGCGATCTGTGGAGACGTCTCAGCGATGCGCCTACCACATCAACCACGGCCACTGTGGCCGGGACCGTCGAAGAATATATGGAGCTGATCGGCGCTCTGCTGGAATTGGGCGTGGAGGACAACCCTATTTGGGTGTGGCTTCTCAGCCGCTACGACTTCCTCAAGACTAAGATCGGCGCCTTCTGCGGACGCTGCAAGATGGAAATTGAGATCCTCCGACGCCGGCTTGCTGGCGGCGATAAGCCTACGCCCAAAGCTGTGGCATCGTATCTCCGCCTGGCACCACGAGAAGAATCAGCGGATCTGCAAGGTGTGCTGGACACTGATCAGGTAGTCGAGCTCTGGGAATGTATTCTAGCGTATCTGAACAAGTTGTTGGCATCGCAAGGTGGGCTACTCGGCGAAGTTTTTGATTTCTGGGAAGTAGCACAATCCTTCATTGACGGTTCCAGACAAAAGCTTCTTCCCGCTGGGTTCGAAGGAGAAAGTCGCAGACATCACCGGCTCTCCGAAAGCGAGACCAGGAAGCTACAGAACGGTGTCGTGGAGTTGGTTGACCTGATTCGCGAAAATGTGCTGTCGTTGTTCGCCGATGCGCCTCTGGATGATGCTTCCTTCCTGACGTCTCCAATATCACCAGCAACTCCGAATAGCCCGATAAGCCGAGGCGTGACTCCCACAGAATCACGTTTCAAACTCGACCCAAAGAACATGCCATTACCCACGCCGAAACGCGGGGAGTTTTGGGAGGACTATGCCTTCTGGCCGCCCTTCTCGAATTCACTCAGTGGTGTCCACTATCTCGGCCAATTCATGATCGTCATTGGCACCGCGGCGAGCGAAATGGCCGCATTGAATCCTGTAGCAAGCGTGGGTCACACTCATGATCTCCTCAAGTCCCTCGTGAGCATTGCTCGCGAGCGCTCTGTCCGGGTTGCATGTGCGGCTTGGGGCAAAGACGCGGAGATTTGCAAAATGCTGGAAGACTGGACGCGCGATCCTGAGAGGAAGGATCTGACAAAGATGCCTGGGCTATTTGTGGCCTTTGAAAGTGCAATTCTTGGGAGGATGCAAAAAATACTTTACATCTCGGAAGCCATGGCAAAATCAGGGGCCGTGGATGTCGTTACGCAACCCCCTGCCAAGCTGCTCCAGATGGTCCGCACCCAATTTGTATCCAGCGTTTACAAGGCGCTGAGCGGTCTCGTGGAGAACGCGGAACATCCCGTCGTTCTAGAAGAGGACAGCGAATGGATCCTCGCCGGGTGTGCGGCACAACTTAATGGTCCTGATTCCCCGTCGCCTACTTTGGCTGCGGATGCTGTGGACTCTCAAGACAGGGTAAGTCCTTCTCTCAGCCCGCTTCTGTCTGAACAGTGTCGGCTAACATGTGTTAGAACGTGCGGATACTGCTCACACTGTCAAATATCAAAGCCCTGCAGGCAGATTTCGTCCCACATCTAGTCACGAACTTCGAGACCGCATTTTCTGTGAAATTGACCGAAGAAGCCAAGACTATTCGCGACGTGCTGGGTCAGATCGATGACCGCCTGTTCCAATCGTACACCAAGCCAACAGTCAACAAGTTGAATACTATGATTGTCAACGGCGTTACTGACCCTGAATGGGAGCCGTCCAGTGCTCGCCCAGAGCAAGTACGCCCCTATGTATATAGCGCCTTGCTCACGCTTGTGCTTGTCCACACGGAGATCTCGACTACTATTCCGTCTAGTGTGTCCTCAGGAGCGAGTCGTTTATCACCCACTGCGCCATCTCCGTTGCTGACCATGGTCCTCACACACTTGCTGACACAAATCTCCACGTCTCTCCTAAATGCGTTCAGCTCACGACCTTCATATACCCTTGCTGCACTGATGCAGGCAACCCTTGATACTGAGTTTATCGCGCAAACCCTGTCACAGTACTACACGGAGGAAGCATCTACTGTGCAAAGCCAGATATATGTGGAACTGGATCAGCGGACCACACACGAAGCCAGGGCTCGGCTTCAATCAGAGCTTGGCGAAATGAGGAGCATACTGAAGCGGCTTAGGGAGAGGACAAAGGGTGAATTCGCATGCTTCAAGAAACCCAGAAGTGGAACAGGACATAAAGCAGCTTAGAGATCATCCTGAATATTGAAGGTATAATACTTGCAAGGTTCAAGCAGTTGCGTAGAAAGGTCAATAAGTAACTGTAAGAGACATATCTAATGGGTATCATAGAACAGAAGACTTTTTTCGACAACCTCTATTTCCATCTCCATGTGCAAAATTCGTCTCTACGTTTAACCAACCATGCGCTGAATCCGGTTGAGTAACACCTTGCTCTCCCGACCCAATCTCCTTTTGCCGTCCGTAGCAGGCTTCTTCGCCCTAGCCATCGCCTCGCGGTCCTTCAGCCTAAACTCCCGCTCTTCTCTGCGCCTCTCCGCCTCTTTCCTGCGCTTCTCCGCAATCTCCAACTCCTTCGCAAAAGCAGACGGTTTAGGTTTTCTTCTGTTCCGACGTTCACGGGGTTTATAATCCTGTGACCGTTCAGGTTTGGGTAGTTGTTCCGGCACAGGCTCGTTCAGCATGGCCTGTCGGTCTGGATGTAGCTCCAAAGACGCCGGGGCGTGATCAACGACGTTATCGCCATTGGGGTTTTCACTCTCCACATGTTCCTCGGTCGTATAGATGGGTCGTTTTGGTGCTGATGCGAGTTCCTCGGCTTTGATTTTGGCATAGGCCTTTTTTACTTTGGCCTTTTGGATCAGGTCGGACTTTATTTTTTGGGCTGCGGTTATGTGGAATGATCAGTAAGAGAATTGGGTAAGAAAACAGTGGAGAGCAGCATCAGGAGGCGATATCTACCTTTGCGACGGTAGGTGCCATCAGGCAGGTTTGCAGGCCCAACTGAAAAGCCCTTCCTTTTCTTGACTGGGGGTTCTGTGGTCCGCTTTTCTTCGGGATTGGCATCGGCGTCACGAGAGCGTTTGGCCATGATTGATGCGACTGGGTTCGTAAACTATAGAATAGTCGAAGCGGTGTGTCGGGCAACAATTGCGATATTAAACGTGGTAAGTGATGTGGAATTTGTGATTGTAGTTGCGGCAGGCTTTGAGATACCGAAAGGGGAAATTTTCAGGTGAAATTTCCCAAGCAACTGATAGATAGTCGGTGGCACTTGTTTCTGACTGGATTTGAGTGAGATCCTCAATGACCAACAAGTCCAGAAGTGATAGTGTTTGATAGATCAAACCAAGTTTGCCCTAGAGCGGGGATGTAAAAAAGAATGATGACGATACTAAGAAAAATCCCGGTCAAACGATACAAACGATGATGCTGATGATGATTCATGCTCCTCCGCCGAGTCGCCGACGGTCTCCTCCTCCACCAAACCACAGGCCAGCATCTCTTCGCTTCGTCTGCCATTCTTCAGTGGATCCTTTGCTGTTTCATATTTCTCGTTCTTCTTTTTCCTTCTCAAGTCCTAGCCTTGCTCTTTCATCCCGTCCTCTTCCTTCCATGGTTGGCCCCTTTGAGCGAGTCATACTTCAACCGTCCTTATCGGGACCGCCACCACTCCCGTCGTACCACTGCAACTACTCCGTATTTTCACTTTGCTCTTAGTGTAATACTCTCTGTGGAATCCTTGCTGTTTCTGGTCGCTTTCATTTGCGATGATTCACCTCTCATCTGGTTTAATTGGGAGTTGCGATAGTCGGTGACCATGCCTATCTTTCAAGACCCTGATCGTCAACGGTTCTATGACCAGTGGTCGGATGACCACCCCCAAGAGGTCGAGCAGCAAGATGGCTCTTCCTCGTGGGTTCGCAGCCATGAGGACAGCCAAAGGCCTCACTCCTCTGGGAGGAGTGCGGATGTTTCTAATGAAAGCTACATGTCGAGTCCCAGTCTTTCGAAGTTGCGAGCAAGCGATCGGGAGGAGTTAATACGGTATATCAAAAGCGCCGATGCTTCTGCCTGGACTCAGCATCATATGGTACGTTCCAAGATTCGACTATATAATGTAGTCCCGCGATTGTGTGATCATCCTTTCCCGTGTCTTGCTGATTCAAGTATTGTCGAATTTAGTCTCGAGAGGCCGATTCGCATCCTCTCAAGCCATGCACATCTGACGAATATCCACGGACGCAGAAGCGTACAGATTCATTCAGGGATTTTATGGATACGGACGACCAGAAGGAGCCAGAGGAACTTGCTTCGCCGGCCGAGATACAACGCCCTCGCTCAGCCCTGCATTCTGGCGACTTTCGAGAAGGCACTGCTCAGGATCAGAGCCAGCAACAAGCACCGCGGTCTCCCCATCCCAAATACCGTCCTCTCGCACAGTTTTCTCAATTAAGCTCATCTCCGACCACGCCCTGGTTTACCACACCTGTCTTTTCCACGCCTTTCCGAGGGCAGGAATCGGGACATCAGCAAGAAGAGGCTACGAGCCCAGGTCTGCGTTCACGAGCACCGTCTTTGGGCTCATTCTCCTCCAGCTACGTCCTGAAAGCTCCAACGAGTCCTTTGGTTTACCAAGCAAATAACACTGATCTGGACTTTTCGCTGAAAAGTGAGTACTGCGAGAATCATTCAGCTTCGGATAAAGTCAGTCGCCGTCGCACACTGCCTCCAGAGACATTTCGGAATCTTCAGGATTCGCCTCCCCCTTCTCCACGTGTGATTAACCTTAACACTGGTCACTCACCTGGAACCTTCCACAATTCACTCTCGTTCCAAGCGCATCCACCACGGAAATCATTGGCCTCTTCGTACAGTCTTCAACTGGCTTCATCAGTCCAACATCCGTCCTGGAAAGCCAGAAGACCCTCGCTCGCCGGTGAAATCTCCTGCAAGACCCATGCGCCATTGGTAGGATCCTACGAGGAGTCGATTCTCCGCGGGAGGATGTCAATGAACCCGTCCAAACCACTCGACTTCACTGCCCAAATTGGTGTGCTGGGCAAAGGAAAGTGCAAGTCGAATCTCAAATGCCCACCACACGTCACAATTCCATTCCCTGCGGTCTTTTACAGTTATCCTACTTCCGGAAAGGGTCGCTCCATTTCGGACGACAATCCAAGCCCCTACGTGGGTATGATTGATCTCGGGAATTCCTTGCCTAAGGATAGCTCAAACGTCACTCGCCGCCACCGGCATCACCAAAGCCCTGCTGGTACATCCAAGGACCAAAGAACTGATGTTGGCGTCGGATCGGAGTATCAGACCCAGGAAGCCCTGCGCATGAGGGAGAAGCGAAATCGACGAGCCGATTCACCCAAATGCCCACCAGGCGGATGTTATCGTATACCACAACAGGGCCAGCTGCAAATTATGATCAAGAATCCGAACAAGACAGCTGTCAAACTCTTCCTTGTACCTTACGATCTCAGCGAAATGGAGCCTGGCACCAAAACTTTCATACGCCAAAGAAGTTACTCAGCAGGTCCCATAATTGATATGCCTTTGTCCGCCAGGAAGAACTTCGGCACTGATCGACCGGAGGCTTCTTTGAACGCTTCTGAAGATCCCAAAGACAAACCTATACTACGTTATTTGATCCACTTGAATATCTGTTGTCCTTCAAAGGGTCGTTTCTATCTCTACTCGAGTATTCGTGTTGTCTTTGCAAATCGAGTGCCTGACGGTAAAGAAAAGTTGCGAAACGAGATACAACACCCCGATCCTCGGTATACACCATACAAACCAGTCCGTGACACTAACGCTACCAATATACATTCAAAAGCGGCGAAAGGGTACACGAAAATCGCTGCGGATCTGGGTTCATTACCAGGTTCTCATGCGGCAGGGGAGTGCTCTTATTTTCATCATACTTCACACTGTCACGCGATGCCTCTTATCAGTTCAGTTGATGAAGCAGCTACTGCAAAGCATCATTACGAGATGAGACTTCATCCTTTCCAGCGCATCCCGTCCCCTAGGGAAACCCCGCTTCCGCAGCGTACTTCTGACAACAATGCAACTGAAGTCAGGACTTATCGTAAACTCAGCAGGGGTGATCTCGGATATGGTGGTCTTCCATACAGCTCTTCTGGCGTATCTGAAGCCGGGGAAAGTTTGCTCGCGAAGAGGCTGAGAGGGCTAGACGTACAAAAACATGAGTCTTCAGCTCCGAATTGAGTTGTCGATGCAACACCTGCGACTCTGGATCTCTTTTTCGGCGCCTGTTCCTCCTTCTGAAGCAGTATTCCATCGGTATAACCTGTTCTCCCCTTCTGCCAAATTATTCGTCTTCCTTTCTTGTTATCCAATTTGACCTCACCATGATTAGCTTGGCCAAATTTGCACATAGCAACAGCCTTGACTAACGACACAGTACAATATCACAAGATGCGGGCATCTTTCGGATCTTCAGTTGTCTTTGCTTACTCAGACTAAACGCAATAGACCAGGCGCTCAGGGACCACGCAATATACCCATCCTTGTCATTACGCTCGCAGTCAATTTTACTTTCAACCTTCCTTGTTCAGTATCAGCGTCAGACTCACTTTCATCTTCATGTTACGCACTGACATGTGGCTTGTCTCAGTCGTGGATGTTGGGAGTCTATAGGCTTTCAAATCCTCTATTAATCCGTTATCTTGGCGATTCAGCATAAACCTTGAGGTCTACTTTGGCTTTCGGCGTCTGGCAAAGTGGCAATAGCTTCCTCGGGCTGTTCACATGGTTGTTTTCTTCATTGTTGATTTCATCAACATTCTCTGGATGCAGATAGTATAATGAGTACCGGTAGTGCTTGGTGATGTTTCTGGCAAAGACTGTTACAAGCCTCTTCGATTATGCTATTTTATCTACAATCTTATCTAAATACAGAATGAAGATGATATGAGATTGAAACCTGTGTGCTCGAATGGTCCAAATGTCCTAATCTATAGCCAGGATAGATATCCAGGATTATATTCAAACGAACCGGCACCTTACCTAGCCTGCATGCTCGACAATTTCGCTCACGAGGACCCCATCTTTGATATACGACTTGATCTGTTCTGGAACGGGACACTCCTTGGTATCCTCATCTGTTCCCTCCTTAGGCGGGAGCATGATGTTGACAGCCGTGCATTTACTAGAGAAGACCTCGGTAGCCAAGCTCTGCTGTCCAAGGTAGATAGTCGCACCGTCGACTTGGTCAAGCAGAAGAGTGGGCACGACACCGTCAATCTGCAGAGCAAATTTGGGAGACTTGATGACATCGAGGCTGCTGACAAGCGAGTCCACGATGATGGAAAGGCCGTTGCAGTTATCGATGGAAATCGCGTTGGCCTTGTTGTTCACCTTCACGATTGTCTTGTTGCAACGGCTGATTAGGATAGATTGATTCTGCTGAGCGGAGATCTCGATGATTCCACCGGGGTTATCGAAATTCTCAAGGAGCCACTTGTTGCCTTCGAGCTCTTTACGCGGCGGCTTACGAGCACGCATGCTCTCCGGCTTGGGCTTCTTGCTCGGGGCAGGTGACTTGGAGCGGGAAATGCTACCCTGAGAGCTTGGGCGTTCAGAAACCGTTGAGCCCGCACGCAGGCTGGGGTTCTTGTGCGTCATCTCGGACTTATCGACCTTGCGGAGGCCGGAGGTGACGGCGTCGCCTTGGTTCAGCTGAGCGAAGACTGCAGACATGTCTGGTGATGCAGCAACGGGCGCAGGAGGGACGCCGGGTGGTGGAGGGGGGGGAGG